TGGTGGGCAGAGTCCTTGAGCTGCTGCCTTGGCCACAGTCACCGCTGCCTCAGTTTCCTGAGCTGTGAAACTCCTGCAACAAAACCTGTTTCTCTGAGATTTCTCTCAAATAATGAACCTGGGGTTGCGCTGAGGCTCCAGACCAGACCCAGATCCCCCCGGGGAGGTGACGCAGCTGTAGGCAGGAGCAGCTGTTTGCCCACGTGCAGTGAGAAATCCTGGCTCTCCCCCCGCGCTGCCCTGGGCCTGGTGCAAGCTTTCCCTTCCAGGAGCTGAGCCCCGAAAGCCCGCAGCTGGGGGACATGGGGCTCCCTCACCCATGGCCACCAACCCCCGTCCCTCAAACCAAGGGACTTGCTCGCAAGTGCAAGCGAGCACTTGCTGGGTTTCCTCCCGCGCCTCTGCAAGGAGCCAGCAAACGTTAAGTGATGCTGAGCAGACAGCGAAGGGAGACGGCTGGGAGCAGCCAGGAAAGGGCAGCCCTTCAGAGAGCTTCCCACAGGGACAGCGAGTGAACAGGAGAAGGAAAAAAATAGCAGAGAGCGTGAACGCAACTGGAGGGGACCCAGCTGAGCACCGATGGCAGAGGGGCGGCAGGCAGGAGCCTTCTGCTGCTTTGGATTTCCAGAGACAGGGGCTGCTCCCAGGCAGGTTCCTGCTGGGAGACAGTAGGGCTACACCTGCCCTGGTGCCAGGCAGAGGTGTGCTACAGCGTCGGGAGCCATTTGATGTCTGGAGAGGGTTGGGGGGGCTTTATTTTGAAGGCAGCTGCTGCCACGCTTGTGGGCAGAGGCAGTGGGCTAGGGAGCCCGGGAGATTTGGCTTCTCATGTCCTTAGGTGACATTGAGCAGCGTGAACTCCAAGGGCTCCAGCACAACCCATGGACCACGTGAGATGCACACAGACAGAAGGGCAGCTCTGAAGGTGAGTCTCCTCCCCCCTCTGAAAAAATCTGTGTCCCGTGGTGCTGTCAGGTCCCTTCTGGCTGTGGTGGTGCTGAAGTGCGTTCCCTACAGCAGCCAGCCACAGTGACAGCTGGGCAGCCTTCTTAATCTCCTTCAAGGACTCCACTAATTAATAAATGTTCCTCTGCTCCATTAGGAGTGTGTGCAGCTCGAGCCCCGACGCTGCTGCTATTTTGCTTTCCAGTGAAATCAACAGTCGGGCCCTGCCTTGGCTGTCAGGGAACAGCCCGGGGCAGGCCCAGGGGACTCCGTACCGGGTCAGCAGGAGACCAGGGGCAAGAGCCGTCGGAGGCTTAGGCTGAAAGTCAACTTCAGGTAGCAGCAGCGAATTTTGGTTGTGCTAAAGCAGGAGCAGATAAACAAACCAGGGATCAAAACACAAGCGCGGGGGCTGTAGCATGAGGCTCAGCATCTCCTGCTCCCTACGCAAAGCACAGCGATCAACACGTAGAGGCTGCTGCACTGGTCACTGAGCAAGGAGCGGACTTGGCCGTCTGTCAAGCAAGCTCTTGGCAGCCCCATTAGCTGCGCTGGCAATAGAGCCCCACGGCACGCTACAGTGGCTGGAGCAAAGGCAGTCCCTTGTCCAGCAGCACCGGCTGAGACCCCGCTGCCGGGCACTGGGCGAGAGGAACGAGGGAGGACTTCCAATTCTTACACAAAGAGCACAGTGGTGTTATTAGGAACTGTCCCACAGCTGAAACTGGAGAAAGAAGGAAGCTGAGCAGCAGCAAAACATCTTCCCTGTTTATTTGCAAGAAACATCTTGTTTAAAAAAAATTACTTTTAGTCTTGATCCAAGTAACACTGCAATCAACAAACATTGTTAAACCAAAGTTCAGACAGGTTGGGCAGCCCCTGCTACACAGAAGAATGAAGAAAAGATTTAAGAGCAAACTATTTTATGACTAGATCGCAACATTTGCCTCAAACGCCTTAACCAGTGTTTGAATACGGTAAAGAAGAAAACAAAATCAAGTGAAGCTGATGGTTCATCTAACAGATGTCTCAGCTTTTAACTTCCACACATGGGTAACTCGTAGCCAGTGTCTCTAATTGTGAAATCATAATGCATAGCAATGCAGAGACCTTCCCGAGCAAGGTCAGCCCCGCTCATGGTGCTCGGGTAACAAAACAGCAGCGATATTAGTGATGCCACGGCAGAGGAGGAGAGGGTGGCAAGGGATTTCAAAATAACGCGTTTGCTCTACGTGCAGACAGCTTGGGAGAGGTCTGCGTTAACGGCGCTCTAAAGCAGACAGTCCGCCCCGTCCCCTGGGTCAGGGAGTTCCTACGCTGGGCCAGAAGTTACTGCCTTCAGCCTGGGAGGGTCTCCTCGCCTCCGACAGCTTCACAGGCCCTCGTGCTCCCACGAGGCCAGGGTGCGGTTGCTGTGTGTCCGTTTCTTGCAGCCCCGCAAAGGTGAGGGCTCAGCGGCACCGAGGGTTAACACGTGGAGCGAGGAAGAGGGCTGCACAGCCAGGGAATACTAATGGGAGACAGAAGTCTAACGGGAGCTTGCGCTGTGCTCTGTCACAAACCCGCACTCGGCGATGACAAATGACTAACGAGCGAGGAAGCCATCCTAACTGACCCGCTCAGCGTGGAGGGAACGCCACAGCCCACTGCAAAATCTAGCCGTAGCGGGCAGTGCTGCCAGCTGACTAAAGCACCCCAACCCAAACGTTTGTTACCCCACGGTGAAATGTAAGGACGAAGAAAATAACCTCAGCTAAACAAAGGTGTTGGCGATAACAGCTGCACAGATTTTAATTCTTCCCTCTTCTGTAACAAGAAGCCAGGCTTGCTTGAAAGCACGCTCTGCATCTCCTGTGAGGGGTACCGACCTCTGCACCAACGAACGCCCCGCCACTGCACCCAGCCCCGATCCACTGCAGGGAGGACTTCCCTGGGACGGGCAGGAGCAAGAGGCTCAAAAAGCACAAGCCCCAAGGACCAGAATCGGCGAGAGTCCAACAGCTCTCCTCTAACAGCACAAAACGCTTTCAGGCACAGTCCCAGGACCACATCTGATCAATCCCTGCAGCTTCAAAACCTCATTTTCCTCGTAGTTTGTTCATCTTGCATCCAAATGAAGGGAAACGCATCAGAAGGTGACGTTACCCAAGAGTTAAGTGTCTGGCTGTCGTACAGCTCGCAACAGTGGCTGCAGCCAGCACTGGGCTGTGCCCCTTTGAGGCACGCCACGGGGAGCATCCCGGTGTCGGCCATCCCCGTGTGTGGTCCCAGGCGGGCTTGGAGGGAAGGAGCCGTTGGGAGAGCGGGTGCAGGAGCAGCCCGGGAAGGGGAAGCCTGGCTCGGAGCACCAGCTGCGCACGAGACAGACAAGCTGGAGGGTGGCCTGTGCCGTGACGCAGGCAAGCGAGAGGCAAGCCCCGTGCCTGGCAGAGTCGGGAGGGCACGAGGCTAATGCCTCGGTACTCGGGAGAGCAGCAGGCTCCAGTGCTGGTGCCTGAGGAAGACAGCTGATTGCCCAGAAAAATAAACTTAGCAGCAGCCATGACTACATTCAGCGAGGGAACATTCCCTCGCATTCAATAGTGTTTAATCTTCATCTAGCTCAACACAAATCAGTAGTGCAGCAATATAAATACAACCGAGGAAGTTAAAGCCTTTTGGCTTTCATAGCTAAAAAAAAAAAAAAAAAGCCAATGAAACAAGTTTCCAGTTTTTAAGTTAAACACAAAGAAAGGCAATAAACTGCCCACCCATCCACAGAGGAGCAGTGGCATCCTTCATGCCAGCAAGAGGCCGATTTCTGCCCGAGGACTGGGGTGCAACTCACGAAAGCAGCACAGTGAGATAAAGGAGCGGGTATGGAAAAGGACCACCACACACCTTCCTCCCAGAGCCCAGGCAGCAGAGACACACGGCCACTTGCTGCTGGCACTCACCATGCGATGTCCTCGGGTACCGAGAGTTCCCCTTTCCACCAACTAAAGGACACCAAGCGCGTACTTCGCACTGCGTTAGGAGCACGCAGGGCTCTTCAGCCATAACAACATGAGGTCACTAAGCTGCCAGCCAGAGGGAGCAGCCAGCTGCCGGGGACTGAAGATATCACCCCCCATTTGCCTAGGTTGTGCAAATTTTAAGGAAAAAAGAAAAAACCCACAGTATATAGCGTTTCATAACTGAGATATGGTTAATGTCCAGACTCACGGACTGCTTGGTGACCAACAGGAGGTGCTGGGGCCACTGAACATCTCACAGCTTTGGAATTAAGCCAGACGTTAGACAGAGGTACCAAAGGTGGGTGTTCCCTCCTGGCTCTGGTACCCAGCAGGAGAGCTTGCTGCAGGAGGGGGTCTCCTAGCCCAGCCAATTACCGCAGACAGGTCAGCTTTTCACATCTGAACAGGCACCATGTCATCAACACTCCCAGTAAGAAGAGCCTGACAGTAATTTAGAACAGCTACAAAACCCTCTCCTACCTGCAAGCTGATGGAATGTGACCGTAGTGTTTAGATTCCCCCTCCTCTACACTCCAAAAGCAGCTAAGTGCATGTGAAAGGACAAGTCTAAACTGAAATAGTGCTTAAACCATTAGGGAAGATGGAAGTAAAAGAGAAGCAAGCTGTTCGACAGCAAAAGTAGCCTGTGGTAGGCTACCGGAGCCTGAAGGGAGCTCAGAGCACAGCTCAAAGCACAGCCTTGACCTTCCTTCTCCCAGGAGCTCCTGAGGCAAGTGAGCTGGAAGTCCATGGGTGTTTCCTCCACTGCAGTCTGAGGTGGGCTAGGAGGGTCCTACGCATTCACAGTTGCTCCAAGTGGTTCTGTCCTGCTGCTCTCCAGATGCCAGCTCTGTCCTTTCCTGATGCTTCGCCTGGGGTTCACAGTTGCCATCTCCTCCCTTTGATTTCCCTTGAATTGCAAGTTCAAGTACAACCAGTTTTAACTGAATGAAAAGAAACCCACAAAACCAAAGTTATTTTCTATGAAACGAGTTAGCAGCATTGTCCTAATCAAACTGGCCTCCAAAGGCCCTTCTAGGACAGGGACGGCCTTTCCCACTGAGCTCCAGCAAAAGGCCGCCTGAGGGGAGCTATAGGATTTCCTCCCTCTGGTTCTTGGGTTTGAGCATCACTTGTCCATTGCGCAAGGAGCCATTCTGGCTACGGAGCAGTTTCCCTTTTTCACGGTCGGGCCACGTGAAGATGGCTTCATCGCTGTCCAGTTCAGACTCAGAGTGCATCAGGCTAGTGTTGAGGACCTGGGCTTTCTGTCTGCCACCTTTGAAGGAGAGAGATTCTGAGGTTAAAAATACTTTTAATACTGGTCAACAACCTCACCGTACTCCATTCCCCCTTTAAGTCTCCTTTTCCTGTCATGTCAAAGGGCCAGCCTAATCAGACTTCCCTGTGTCTGACACTTACTTCCTCAAATGCTGAAGCCAAAGCGATCCTGTTTCAGATACTTTGGCATGACAGAGGTCACAAAGACACTTCGAGATAGTGCAACGCACAACAAACAGGCAGGAAAGCAAATTACGTTACCAGAAGGGGCTGTGAGTATACGTGGAAGCTTTGTCTTCCTGACCTTGCTTGGGGCATTGCCTAGAAAGCTCTCTGAGGGCTAACGGCTGTAGTAAAGAGAATATGCAGGTGTGCGAGGGAAGATCGCTGTGTTCTTACTACCCTCCCTACTCTCATTTCTCTTGCCTGCAAGGGAAGAGAGATAAATTAGCAGGCTGAATTTAGATTAATGCACAAGGACAGGAGAGAGACATTTACTGATATTGTCAGCAGAGGAAATATTTAAGTTTAGCCTTTCCTTAATGGAGAAATGCAACATTTCCTCTGTTAGCAGAATGCTCCCTGGACATACCTAGCAGGCAAAAAGACTTTAGTCAGCAGCCAGCCTCGGAAGAAGCAAGATGAGTTTAGTTACCAGAGAGCAAACAGTTGAGGCACATTTGCTACAGACTGCAGAACAATGAGCCCTTTATTTAACAGTGGGGCTCTTCTGTGTGAGGTGACAGATGGTCAGATTAAAGCAGAGTTGGGTGCTGAGGGAGGAAAACACACATGGTTTTTCTCTGAGGGTATCCATATTTGTGCAGTTGGGACGGCCCGGTTCTCAGAGGAATTGTCTGATCAGCTCTGCCGCTGCAATGCTCTCCAATGCTGCTGTTAGGCACTGTTCACTTTGCTGGAACACCACTAAATGGGATAATACTAGGACGAGCAGTTATTTTCCACTAGCAAACAAGGATCAGGGACTATTTTCTACGCACAGTTAAAATAACCCCTCCTCTTAACAGAAACGGGACAATCACTCATATTTGAAACATATATTTCAGCAGCTGACATGCCTTGGTGGGGCTGTGCTTTGCACGTACTTTCCCACATCTCCCTCCTTTCCTGGTGAGTTAGTGGTTTGGTTCAGGTATCAGATACAATCGCAGCAAAAACGCTCCAGCCTGAAATAACTCAGCGATCTTTGCAAAACACCTGACAAGCACTCCCGAGGACAGCAATGTAGACAGGAAAGTGCTGGCTAAGAACACTGAAGACAAATGACTGCCTTTCTGGCATGGGCTGACGGGCCTGCAGCCACACGGAGCACTGAGGACTTCATGGGTCTCCCCCCTAAGATAAGCATCTGCTTCCTGGAAAAATTAGAGTATGAGCTAAAATGTGAAACTTTCAGAGCCTGATGCTCTCAAGGACAAGAATGAATAAATTTATGAACAAGTAATTTGGGGTGGGAGAATATGGGGGCAGAAATAAACATCGCTCTCTCCAGTCCATGAGTATCTTCAGGTTGCTTTCAGGTGTCCCTTTGCTTACTGGCCAAAGTCAATCAGTTTAGCGAAATGCTTAGTGACACTGAATTCATGCTTTGCTGTAGAGCAAGTCCAAGGAATTGCATATTGGCAAGAAGTGAACTACGAGAACCCAGTGGAAAACTTTAGAGCAAGAGAAGTTATAGTCAAGACACAGTTTTGGGCTTCCTGGATCAGGCCGGTCTCTTACACGCATCCACTTACTACTTCTGTGATACAAAGTGGAGACATCGGGACCAGGCCAGTTTCAGCCCCAATTTCTAAACCAAAGAGTAAGCGAACTTGACTAAATACCCTGTATACAGATCTGAAACAAGCTCTTAGATCTTCTGAGACTCGTCTGTCAGTGCCTAACATCACGTTTGTTTCACTCTGTGATTTTTAGTCCACTGAGGACGAGTGTTCTCAGTCAGCATTCTGGAAACGCTGAGCTCTTCCCTCTCATGTTTTACCTGCTTTGGGATTTGGTTTTAACTCCAGGCTTTCTTGATCCGTTGCATCCAAAATCTTGTATTTGCTTTTTCTTTTGGATTTTCCTTTTCGTCTAAAGGGGAAGAAAAGGAATTAAGAAGCAGGCCATTTCTAAAAAAGCCAGAAGAAAAAAAACCAACTCTGATCTTCAAAGCTAGAGCACTTGCTTATTTCAGATTATGTACATATCAGAAAGCAAAACATTAAAAACATTGCTTTAGTTGCACATTTTAGGCTAATCCAAATCTTGCTTCTTAACTGAACCCAGAGCTCTAAGACTTCAACGTTTCACTTGAAACACTAAGTGACAAAAACTAATATCCCAGGGCTAAACAGATGACCTGCTGGGGCGATTGGTTTGAATCTTTCACCTCCTAATGCAGCTACTTGGCTCTGAAGCACTGATACAGCGGGGGTTATGGCCTCAGTCCCACCTCTTGCAGCAGCAGATCACCATCCAGGGTAAGATTCCAAAGGCAACCACAATGACGAAAGATGCAATGATCACATACAGCACACTCCACTCTGAAAGCAAAACACCCCAGAGATAAAGACATTTTTGCACCCCATACAGTTGACAGTGTGCGCTTTAGATGACTATTCTTGAGAAAGAAAAAGAAAAGCCTGACTCTGCAGAATTAAAGGCTAGCATCCATCACTGACAGCACCACTAACTCACCTACGGAAGCCAGAGGCTTGAGATCCAGTGTGCGGACTCACTGTACAAGGGCATTTTTCAACGTGTGTTGATTTATAAAATTTGCTCTCCTGTGGCAGAAAACCCTCTGTAGGGGCACGACAGAAAAGAGGTGTAATTTATACACCTCTTGAATGGACTCAACTCTTATTGAGTGTTCACCGAGAGGGTGTGAAGAGGAGTCGCTTCCCTATCAAGTATCGGCTGCCTAGAAGGTAACGTGTCGTGAGGCCAGGGCAGGGACTATCTCCTTGTGTGAGCATCACGTCAGAGATACTGGGAGAAAGCAGGTAGCTGGTACTCTGCCTGCCCTGGGTTTCAAACACCGTTTGCTTTCCAAAGGTGAACAATCCCAGGGAGGCTGCACGTACCACAGTTGCTTTCGCCGTCTCCCATCTGCACCCTGACGAAGTTCTCCATCCAGAAGGGGTCACAGACGCAACGCTTGGTGAAGGAGTCACAGCGTCCATGCTCAGAGCAGTTCAGCTGACATGCTAGGGACCAAAACCAGCAAGGTGAACTAAATGACTCACACGCAAGGCAAAAATGGGACAGTACAGTTCAATACAGCCAACCCCCGTAGGCTCTAACTTGAACCTTGTTACTCGGTAGTTCATCCTCTTAGCTTAGCCATAATCGCAAGCAGTAAGAAGCGCAAATGTAAGCACCTAGGCCTCATGCCAAACTATGAAGTCCCACTTCACTAACAACGTAAGACAGTGACTCTTACTTACTGACTGTGTTAATTTCTAATGCCCGGAAGATGAGGAAGTCCGACTGTTGTTTCCGTAGTTCGTTTTTTAGCGTCCAGGCTACCTCTCGTCCTTTGAATATCTGATGGGGTGGCTGGTTCTGTACAAAAAACACCATCTTCGTGCTGGAAGTCAGACAAAAATTATTATCTGCTGCTTTTCCAAACATCAGGCAGAGAGGCATTCTCCCCAGTCTGTCATTAGAGGGACTTATTCAGAATCCCAAATTTATTTGAAGATCAGACGTCTGTCTCCATCGTGGAAGCAATAACGTTAGATCTGGTCATACAGTAGAAACCCTTTGGGACACCTAATTCATCCATATTTTCAAAGCTAGGGCTGGACTGTTCTTGAGTTTGCTAATGGTTTTGTCAAATCTAGTTTCAAACATCATCAAGCACATCTTTGCATGTTCACACTAAGTACGCAAATCCCCAAACTTTAAGGTCCTGCCATTTTCATAATCTCCTCCCTCACTGTGGGATCCTTAGACCTTACTACATGTGGAACTTGGGGGCTCATTTAACTGCTCGGCACAGAGCTCCAGCAACAGAGAAGACAATGAAGGTTTACAATTTTTCGCAAAGCTTAGTTTGAATGCGTGAAGTGTTATAGCCAGAAAAAAGCACAGGTGTAGAGGATACCGTATTCTGCACCTTTTATTGCATTAACGTTATGATAGACGAACTTGCTTCCTTAGGCTTGCTAGCCTTACAGAGCCCTGTGTATCCTTCAGATTCACAAAAGGATGCATGAATGTTTCAGATTTATTATTACCAGTGAGCCTATGAGTCAACAGGATATTAGTGAAGCCCTCAGAGTATGTGAAAGAACAGCAGCTGGGGGAAAAAGGTATTTTTTAAACAGTACAAGTTACTTAGATAGTTGAGGCAAAAATGGGATCTTAAAGCCATCTGTCAGAAAATAATCTCTGCTCTTTTCTAACACTTCCCACTCTTTTGTCTACTTCACAAACATATAAAGAGATGAAGCATTAATTACAAGAATCCCTTACTTGCCTTACTCGGTGAAGAACAGTCGCAACTGGCTTGGTCATGGCAGAGATAGAAAGGTAATACTACAACAGAAAGTGCTGGCTCTTCTGTTCTGAGCTCTTTAGGTTTGCACGGACAATGAATTCTGATTTTACTGCTACAGCGGGCAACGTGGACACGAAGGAATCGATACATTACTGAACTCAGGAAAGTCTAAAGTATAACTGCAGATTTATTGCTGACTTGCTGCATGACTTTAAGCATGTCCCTTAAATATTTTTCACTGTTTTATCTTAAAACTACTCCACTTTCAGTAAAAATTAAGTGCAATATTGTACTTATTTCAACAGATTACCACTCTGCCCTTGACAAGCTTGTTGCCATGCCACTCACATGCATGTTAAGGCATCCTCAAACACACCTACGGTAACGACGGACTGCTGTTAGTACGGAGATATGTGCAGCTGTTGCTGTGACAATGCTACAGCACCAGTCGCTGAAGTTTTCTGCAGAACAGTGAATTTCCCAGACCAGCCATTTGTGCAGAGGTGGAAAGCTGAACTCCATCAGGTACTTTCATATCAAAGCAGCATGGCCAGGATCCAGCTGGGCCAAACCATCCCTTGTATGACTTGCTGGTTTCTGTACTTGGAGCTGAGCAACATTGTCCAGGCAAACAACACGACCCTGGCCTACAGCCCAGCCCAGGAAGCAAACTTCCACTTGTTTAGAAGAGACCAGCTGTAGTTTATTGTAAGCTAAATAGCAATCAAACCCAAGTTTTCCTTATCTCTTCAAACAAAAATTACACTGGTTTTCAACATTTTATTTTACATTAAATTGAAGCAGTTGTGTAGGCAGTAAAGCTAAGGTACAACTACAAAGTTGGCGTGCAGGGCTACTGCTAAGGGGATCGCTACACCACCACCTCTGGTGTGGCATCAGTGTTTCACCAAACTACTCCTGTACCATTATTTGTCCAGTTATAAGTCACAGCTGTAGAACATCCTTCAGATAGTCTTCACAATTTTCAAAACCAAATCAGATTAGTTCCTATTTTACAGATTTGGGGGGCAAAGATATTAGCAGCAGCAAACAGCTTTTGAGGACAATGCACTCTCTCCAGAGGGGAAAGATACCCAAGACCTGCTTGGCAACACACCTTCTCTGACCCGAGCAAGCAGGAATATAAATTTTAAGCAATGTCTCCACATGTTCCGATTGCCCAATCTGCTTCCCAAGAGAAAAAACCCCTTGGTTTACTAAATCCTCAAGCAATCCCTCTCCATGTACGTTCACAGACGAACCCTACCTTTGTTCGGTGTATGGCTGGATCTTCTGCACAGTAATGTCCGAGTCGAGGACGCCCAGCAGAACGCCTATTTGTCGGATGAACATACCCTTCTGCCTCTCAGTCAGCTGGCTGACGTTAACATCCAAAATTATCTCCACAAGGTTATTTTTCCTAGGATCTAGAGAGAATGTAGATAATACAGATCTTTAGAACTTCTATTTGACAGTCTGGGTACAAGTCAAGTTTCTAGTATTTTTCCAGAACGTTTCTGCTTTGAGCACAAAATTCCAGAATCTCACTGTAGGAAGGGACAGAAGTCTTTCCTTTACAGGTAATGGCAAGCAGTAAGAGTCAGCCTCCAAGAACCACATGAAAATACAATCACATCCCCCAAAACTTTTGACCTTTTACAGTTCTGAGCTGGACTAGACTGCACGTTTTAATTTCAGTACACTGTATCCAGACAAACACAGGGCTTGCTAGTGCGCTGTAGGCAAATGTGGTACAGCACAAACCCCAGACTCACCAGGTTTGACTTCCACTGTGGTCCTTTCCACATCACTCTCTCCTTTAGCATCTGTTACTCTGAGGTGGAATGTGTAGGTCCCTTCTACCAGATTGGACAGGAGAAGGACAGGATGATGGTCTGAATTATTTAAGACTTCCTGAAGGCAGAGCAAAATAAGTATCAGGAAACAAAGGATCAAACTAGCATGATATATCATCATACTTAAGGATATCACTAAAAGGTAACAGGTGCAACAACCAGCTTTACATTTCCTCAGGAGCTGTCAACGCTACTTTTCACTGACTTTTGTGATGCTGCAGACTGCCATTTAAAACAGAAACCTCACCCCAGCTGCAGGGCTCCCCTCGTCCCGGGTCCACAAGTAGCTGACAATTCCCTTATCATCAGAGGACTTTGATCCATCCAACTCAGCTGTATTTGTGGGCAAGGTGATGACAACATTACCAGCAATCTTTGCAACTGGCGGCTTGTTTATCTCTAAGCAAACAGAAAGAAAGCAGTTAGAGAAAAATCTGGTAAAGCCCAATTAAAAACTACTGCATTAGTTCTCCACTGTAACCCAGAAATCTCTAACCCTGGGGGAGAAGGGAAATTATACACTGCGGGATTCAGCTGAAGATACTGTTCCTCCAGAAAAGGGTAGACCCCTGACTTAGAGAAGGCCATTTCAGCGCTCTCCACATTATTCTTCACCCATTCCTTACTCTTAGTGTGCCTCTGAACACAGGTTTTGCTGAACTGCTTAGAGATAACCTGCATCTCAGGCAGCTCAGCGTATGGCTGGACATACCTTCTTTGACAATGACGTTGACGGAGCTTTGGCTCTGCAGGTTCCTCTCATCTTTAACTGTCAGAGTAAACTCGTATGTCCCAACTTGAAGGCCTGTTACAGTGGCAATGCTGCTGTTGGCATTCTCCAGCTTGACACCATCTGGGCCCCTAACCAAAGCGCAAGAGGATCAGTTTAAACTTTGCACAGGCCATGGGAGCTAGCCTCACACCAAACAGGAGGCTCAAGCTCAAGCAGAGTTTATGCAAACAGACAGTTGCCTGGAAATACAAAGTCCATGACAAAAAGGAAAATTATTTTCTCCAGTTACAGCAAGATGATCCAAAAAGTAAGTGCAACATTCAGAACAAAAAACATAATTTCTGGTGGTTTAGTGTTTTGGTTACTTTTAAACCAGGGGAGCACTGATACCAGCATTTAAGTAGGGTTTACAAAAAGTGGTACTTTCAGCAAAATTGGCTCATGAACTGCACAATAAGCCAATTTTTTTAAGAAAAGGTATAGAGCAAAAATATTTCCTTCATTTATAAAAGCTTTGCACAGACTTTGCATTAGCAAACAGAAAAACATACTGCAAGCTGCTCATAGGCTTTTTCCTGAATTCCCTAAAGCACTTCAGGGAATTTAGAGTCTGAAGGGAAGCATGACAACGAGAAGAGAAGAACACTGCCTCATTCAAACATACTGCAAAAGGATCAAGTTAGAAGGCCCTACTGTTATTTCATTACAACAGTCAGTCTCTTCATATGGCCAAGACCACACCACACTGCTGTGTTTCGAACATGGCCAGTCTCCTTTACATGCCACAACCACACTGAGAATGGGAATCAGGCCTAGAGGTGAAGGCAAAGATATTCCTAATGCTCAAACAAAATTCCACCTCTCTCCAATTACACATAAATCCTTGTCTCATTCTAGTCACTGGTAAAGCTTGTCAGGCCCAACGTGACCAGGATTTAAAACAAGGGAGGTATGTGGGGTTGTGTCTTGTTTTAAATCAAAGACCTAGATACTTGCATAAGAACAGTCTGGAAGATGATACACACCGTGTTTTTTCCCAAAGAAAGGAGATTATCTTCTGGTCATCTGAGCTCTTGCTGCCATCTAGAGTGGTGCTGTCCACAGGAAGAGTTAATTCTTTATCTGGACCAGCATCTGCCTTTGGGGGCTTATTGTTCTCTGAAAAAGGATTGCAATATTTTTCATACACATGCCATAAAAGGTGGAGCTTAAAACCCCAGCATTAAGAAGTTCTTCATGAACCCTAGTATATTTCTTGCCCATTATCTCAACCTTGTACTCAGAGAAAGTGAGGTTAAAAGCAGTTAAGAGTTCAGATCAGTGCTTCATTCACACATCTGCAATAAAACGAGAATGAAATCTAGGAGTTCTGATTTTTGCTCTCATTCTCTAAGCATTACTCCACTTTTCCCGCTCCTATCCCAAGACCAAGCACTGTGGGCAGAGATAGCTGCTTGGAAATACAGTCCTGCCATTACGGTGGGATAACGTCAATTAGACTAAATTGTGTAAAATAAAAGAACAGCCTAGAAAGGCAATATTCCTAGAAACTTTCTTTTGTTGGTTTATCAGCAGTATACCAGCCCAGAATGGTCCTAAATTAGAGCAGCTTTTCTGAAAGCAACACAAAGCTATCATAAGATCTAGGGTATGTTGACAGATTGATGCTTGCCTCTAACCTCTGGAATGGAAGTGGCAAAAGAAGCTAAGGGCAGCTTACCTGGCTGGACTATCACAGTGACCTCTGCAGTGGATTGGTGCCCAGCAGAATCGGTCACTATTAGCTGGTAAGTATAATCACCTTCTTGCATTGCAGAGAGCTGTAAGACTGGTGTCCTTACCCCCTTTGAGAGAAGATATTAATGTATTAAGAAGAATCCTTACACAGATGATGATAGACCAGAAGACTCTGCTTCTAAAACAACTATTATCGGCAGATTCTAGAGGCTTATTAACAACTCCTGCTATGGGACCAGAAGTCTGTGCCACTTAAGCATACAAGGCACTTACAGCTAAATTTATGCACAGCAACAAGGACACTGTTGTGGAACGTAACAAGAGTAATGCCACATAGGTGTTCAGAGCTTTTGAGATTCAATAGCTAGCAACTCAAGCAAAACCTCTGGGGAGCCCTGTGCAAATTACACACATTGTGAACCCGATTCATGGACTTTATTATTCCAGAAATTTGACAGTACTAATAATCTTTAAAAGAAAAAAGATGACATGGAAACAAGTTCCAGATTTTACTGTTTAGGACTGAGGAGTGTCTGGGCAGTATCAGCAAAGTTCAGACTCCAGTGTTCAACTCAAAAGACCCAGTCCATTGTGTTTGCCCAGCTTAGGAAATGCATGACCTGGCACAACGGGTTATCCTGTGCATCTAAATGCCATTCTGACTGATAGTTACCTAAAAAAATCACACCATCTGGCTTCCACATCTGCTGATAGCACTTAAGCATCCCTATTATACCATCATTGATTCAGTTATCACTGATGTTCCGAGAAGTCAGCAACTGAACAGAGAAAGAACACACTTCCCTAGCAGCCACACAGGTTAAAGTGAGATATATGGGTGTGATCATGTTGTGCTGAGACCTGTTGTATGGGACATCAGAGTCCAAAGCTATCAAGTTCCCATCGCTCTCAATCCTCCATTCTTGAGCAGTATTTAAAACTGCATCGCTCAGGAAAGGAAACAGGATGGCAATGAAAACCTGTGGCTAGACTGGTGCACCACCCCAGCCACTAAGCCAATACCAGCTTCATGTGGATTTAGTTTTAAGTATATATTTAATCATCACATGCTTGCTCTGTAGGATTATAAGAAACATTTGCTAACAGTCAATTAAAAATGGTTTGATTATAGAAAAAAGCCAGCTAGTGAGTAATCCAAGATAAGTACAGGAAACCTGCACTGACCTGCATCTCCATCACCTTCCCTTTGCTGTTAGGGCTGAGCAGCCACTCATAGCTGACAATGCTGTGATCATCGGTGCTCTGATTCCCGTAGAGGGTGATGGAGTTCTGAGGCAGGGTGATGACTTGGTTTGGGCCCGCATTTGCCACTGGAGGATAATCCACTGCTTTGTTCACAGTCAAGTTTGCAGTGGTGGAATTGCTGGCGCCATCCGAGTCCACTACTGTTAGACTGAAGAGGGGAGGAAAAAAAAAAAAAAAAGCAAAAGCAGTGAAGAGTCATGATTATCAGAGCTGAATACAAAACACTGGCTGGAGTTAACTGAAATGCAAAAGAAGAGTTAGAAACTTAAGACACTTTCAAGGACAGGATAGTAATTTTTTTGAGGAGTGAAAAAAACTTATGGTTGGAGGCAACTGTGCTTTTTCTGAACAGAAACTTCCTCCAAATGCCCAATTATCAGCCGCAAAGCAATGCAAGAAATTCAACAGTCATGTCCATCTCTCACTTGAAATCTACTAACTAGTACCAAGATAAAACTGTCTTAGTGAAAGATCATCAGCCTTCACATACACAGTTGTGATGGAAGAAGACCTCCCTGAGTATGACACTGCCTCCCAACGGAAGACGTTCATTACTAACCCACAAGCGGCCTGAACACAGTATGCCTCCTCAGGTAGGCTAGTACCACAAAACAGAACTGCTTTTTGCTAAATCTAGGTCTGAACATCGATCTGATTAGTGCATATACCAAGTGCTTAAGAGGAAAACAGTGTTCAGTTATAGGTACTCAGGTTTATTTTATTTTAAATAGATTTGCTGATGCAGTGCATGGACATCACACCAAAATGCAGACCAAAGGAAAAACACAGAACAAACATTAAAGTAAAATCAGCTATTACCTATTACTCAGGTACATGCAGAAAACCATTAGGCCTCATTCACTTATCTGGGACAAACACATTGCATTTAAAAACTGGATTTAAAGACTGCACTTCTTCCTAAGCCTTTACCCAAACAGTTTAGGTTCAACATTTCAAGAGACATTTTGTAGCGCTGGCAGACCATACGTTCCCTTCTGCCATCATCTTAAACCAGTGCTACAGCTTAAGAATAAGAAGTAGCTGGATAGCTTCTCTCTTCTGAAGTGAAAAGCTATGAAACTACCTCAAAGTGTAGGAGTGGAGAGAGAGTATATCACAAAATAGAGTTCTCTCCCTGTTGTTGTTTTGTTTTTTGTTTTTAAACCAGACTAACACTTCAGGAATCTTGTACATTTTACTCTTAAGGGATGAGAACTGATCAACTCTTCCAGGTATAACGTACCTGAATGTGTAATTCCCGGGTACCAGGTTGGTCAGCGTCAATACGGCAGAATCACTAGAAACTTTTTCCTCCCGCAAAGGACCCTTCAGTTCTTCCCAGTGATAGCTGACAATTTTATCATCATCAGTGCTTTCTGTTTAAATTATGGAAGAAAACGCACATACAAGGAGTTAGAAAATGCTGCTTCACAAACCCCAGATGTTCAGTCCCCCACTTCAGTGTTGGGCTTAGTGGGCAAAGGCATTTTTGGTCCAAGCCCAGAGGTCTCTATTATGCTCAGACACCCAAACTGTATGCTCTCCTCTACCCTGTTTCACAGGTATACTCGAACACACTTAATCCCAGGTTTGTATGTGTGCTGGGGGAAGACAAAAAAAACCCCAAACAAAACAATAACAGAATAATATTAGTTGGGGGTAAGACAACTTGAACATTAAATTTAAAGACATTCCTGAAAAGCTCTGGTGTGGGCCAGGATCAGTAAAGGTGGTGTGTTAGCTAACTAATACATTTGAAGCTTAACACAAGAGGCCAGTAATTTTGACTGACAGTAATTTTTTTTATTCTAGGTAGCAACCTCTAGAGCTTTTCCTTTTTTAGGAGATTGGCTCAGGCCAGTGCCCTTCAAAAGGAAAACATGGAGAGGTGCTGTCATGCGCGTGTTCCCTTCTCCTGGCAAGAGAGGCTGATTCTTTTCACTAGTGTTTGATAGTGTCACAGCCAATTCCTCTAAAACTTTATCCAAAAGGCCAGCCCAGAACCAAATACACAGAAACCAGGCTTGCTAGACTACTGCATTTAAAACAGCAGGTACTCACGGCTGCCATCAATAACAGTTGAAATGGTTGGGAGTGAAATCTCCTGGAACTGTGGGGACACGATGGCAACAGGATGCTGATTCACCCGAGGCTCTGCAACAACACCCAAGCTGTTACAATGACATCTACAGGCAGATCATGATAAAAAGCCCTGGCCAAGGAACTCTGCAGAACTACTCTGCCTTTGTGCACCAGAAGTAGCAAGCAAAATACATATTGCACATCCTCTTCCTTCTCCCCAGCCCTATCTACCCCCTCAGTCCTGCAGTGAGCGAGTCCAGGAGAGGAGTCCAAAGTGTGGAATTGCTGTGCCATACAGCTCCAAGACAGCCACTGATCAGCCTGACTGTAGAGAACTGCACAATCAACGACTGATTCGTGCTTTCAGCAAGTTATACACCAATGCAGGGAAACAGTGCTAACAAAAGGGATTTAAAAAAGCAAGGAGGTGAACTGCCACACTGCTGCTCTGGAAATGGCTGCACTGCATCAGTTCTCCCATACTGGGTCAAGCACTCAAGCACAGACCATTCTAACAGAGCAGCACCTAGAGCTTCTTGCCAAAGTTTGGCTGCTGCTCTGAAAAATGAATGATTTTGATGCATGCTGCCAGCTGCAGATTCACTGCTTATAAGGAAATGATCAGCAACAGCATCCAGAAGGCCAGCCACACACTCTTGCTAATTTAGGGAGTGCAAGAGCACTTCTTTGCCCACAAAGGTTGTAAATAAGTCTTGCTGAAGTGTGCAAAATAAAGTTTTTTTTGCATAAAAGGAGATGCAGAACCTGTAGTTGCCTCTTTACACAGGCCATCTAAAAAATGAGACCTGGTGGGACAGTCAGCTCAAGCTACTGTACCTACACCAGCTCATCCACAAACCGTGTCTTACAGTAAGGAATGAGATTTGACGTAACCTGCCTGTAGTTGGGAATTATATTCTTTACTGCACAGGGAAGAAAAGAACCTCCGAAGGAGCTTCAAAGCTCTGGCTTCCCTTCATTTTTTGCTCGTGCTGCTATAAGCTTTTTACCCGGTTACAGCTAGTTTTTATTGAAGCAGTGGCCTTCCAGGGCAAGGCGTTTGCTAAGCACTTTTGTATCAGTATTCCAGCTCTTTTACTGAGTTGTTGGCCTGTATGCAGTACAGCAGAAGTAGCTACGCGTATTAGCAATAGTTTCACATCTCAGGAAATGACTTAATACACATACATATATACCGAGTTCACAGCACAACAAATTTTCACTACGTTAAACCAGGGTCCAGTCAAATAAACAAAAGACCATGATACAGGTATCATGGTTTGTCAGAGACAGATGAAGTTAAGAAAAGATACAATTCCACCAACTCACTTGGATTCACTGTTACATTCACGTAACCCTCTCCATGTGCGTTTTCCCCATCAACAATGACTTTGAATTCGTACAGACCAACAGTAAGCTGGAAGTAAACACAAAAGATTATTTCCCTTCAGGATGGTAGCACCTTGCCAGGAGCTATTAGAAGGTCAAGTTACCATGCTTTGGCACAGTAGCACATTAGCAGCATAAAACACAGGCAATTATGCTTCAACCAATGCATACACAGCAAAGGATGGTTTCCACGCCAAAATGGAATGGCTATGCAGAAACCAAAGATTAATACTTCTTTCTACCACAGGTGCCACAGGATTGTCAGTCAAGCTTTATTTTCTAGCAACAATAGGCAAACAGAAGAGAGATAACAGATTAGTTCAGGTTGTCTGGCCACAGGAATCTGTACTAGCAGATTGCATCTGAGATGAGAAAGGCTGCATGTAAGAGAAGAAAATCTCTTCTTATTTTTACAAAGGAAAGTATTTCTTCTCTTTCTTCTAGGTGACGTGAGTCAGGCAGTCACCCCTTCATCATTCACTGTTGAACCAAGATGAGAGGGCGAAGGACTAGGTGCTGGACAACAATCATGATATCCAGAAGGCTGAAACCCTGACAGAGACAGACACGCTCCTTTCGAAGAGCTTTTCTCTGCATGAGATAGTGACTAAAGCCTGTAGATTTTTTCCAAGTGCAGCAGAATCCAAGGTGCTCAAAGGAACGTCTCATAAATACAGAACTGTATATTCCCACAACATTTAAAGCCATTTCTTGTTAAGAATCCCCATGTGCAGAAACTGGCAATCCTTTCACTGTTAGAGCTTGTCTAAAAGCAGCAGCCAGGGACATGTTACGAGGTACTCCACAGCTCTCGTTAATGGAATCAGCAAGTCCCTTTTCCAGTGGGTAGTACAAGGCTTCAGACCTAACCAGACCACCACACTGTTTCAGTAGCAGAAATAGCCACAACCCTTTGTTAACGTTAAATTGTGCCATTTGTATGGCTTGACACACTGCTTGTAGGCAGCTTTTAGATCCTGAAATCAATTTCTTCTTTTCCTCATGCCAGATCAATCTCCTTTTTATAAGAGACTTAGAAGAGGGCTTGCAGTCAAATGTTGGCTGCCTGCCCATCAAGCAATTTCCTATTCATCCTGAAATCACATACAAGTCTTTCCTGGCTGCCAGGGTCCCCATCTTCTCCACTTGGCATTTAACACAACAGGATATAAAGCAGCAAAAGCTTTACCTTAGATAACTTAAGGGTCTGGGAGTGCTTCCCTTCCATTTCTCCACCGTAGTCTTTTGGATGAGTAATCAATTCCCACTCATAGGAATAAGTGGTTCCTTAAAAAAAAAAAAAAAAAAAAAAAAAAGGTCCAGATATTTGTTTTTAAAAGACTGCCTTTCTGCCATGCTAAAGAAAAGTAAAGGTATTAAACATTTACAAGGCACATTCTGCTGCACTATGGAGAAATGAGACAGCTTGGAGTTTGGGCTGCAGCTTTTTGGGAACGTACCCAGGAAAGAGACAATCTGTGCTTCTAAACACATTTACTCTGGAGCCAAAACCCATCTTTCAGCCTCTAAGGCATTAAAGAGCTTTGGAACAATCACAGCTCCAAGATAATAAGAGAGAAAAGTCTTATCATGCCCCCAAATCCTGCAGACACAACATAACACCAGTTTTTGAACAGGAATGCATCTATCCCTGTTGCTGCACAACACGTAACATGCTTGCCTCTCCTCTGCAGTCTCCCACTGCCACTGTGGACAGAGCTATAGATATGAACTTTACAAGTACCTGTGAACAATTTGCATGATGAAATGAGGAGTGTATAGAAATGTGTTCCTCAGCATGTCAACCCCCAAATCAGATTTCAATCCACCAAATGAGAGATCACTCACTAAGACAGCTTGTTGCCTATCGGTAAACATCACAAAGAGATGCCGAGGAGCCACTGCTTCCTCACATACCACTTTAAGAATATGCTGTCTCCCAAATCTAATGACTTTGTGGCACTTTCAATGCTTTGTGTGTCTTGCTATTTTCTGCGAGAGGCAGCATGAGGTAATAGCACAGGATGAAAAATTTCTACAGGAAAGTGCTCTCTGACAAAAGACATTTTCAAGATTGTCCTTATTTAATGCTGTATATAACGCCTATTTGCCATTTCACCATCACAAGCCCTTAGCAGAATTCCCAGGGAAGCCTTACGAAGTGGTGGTTCAGGAAGCACAAACGCATTCAGCTGAACTTCATTCTTTGGCAGGGTCACTTCGACGCTGTCTCCAGCGGAAACTACCAGCTCCTTCATAACTGTGAGGGAGAAACACAGAATTGAAAGAGGAACAGGAAAAAAAAATTAGATACATACATAAAAACCACCTCGGCTTCAGAGTCTGTGGAATAAAAAACAGCTACAAATGGCTGTATTTTGTAAACATCCCATCACTCAGTATAGCTCCCGTTTCAGGTTTCGCTCTCATTGTTAATGCAAAAGCACTAATGGGGTTTTACAATTTCAAGGCAAGCCCAAAATTACTCAGCCATCTCTCTCTCCTTGCAGCTCCTGCACAGCTCCTGCTCCTTTTCTAAAGAGCTGAAACGTGACCCTCGGGCCCTGTACAGGGGAATCTATTCACCCAGGTCCAGCAGGATGGGAAGGGTTTTACCTGACAGGTTTTCGGCAGAGAACCCAGCTGCAGTCTCATGGCACAGCAAGACAAAAACTGCTATTTACCAAACTGCAATTTCAGATCTTCACAAATATATGAAGAATCCATGGTATTTCTTCTTTGAAAAACTGCTTGGAGGCTAAGAGACTTTTTAAAAATCTGCATAGCCACCACACTGAGTATGGGAACTCAAAATACAAACCTGTTCCTTTTATTTATATTTTCTCTTCAGCCCTTTCTTAAGACTTTTCTTGCTATTCCATTTCAAATAAATTGACAGGTAGTTTGTTTTTAAAGACTACTGGGCAAAGACTCAAAAACTATGGCTGGTGACATTTTTTTTTCCTGCTTGTTATTAGCATTAAGATGACCAGAAAGTTGATCGCATTTCTTAAGAGTACCTCTTGGCCTCCTCATCCTCCTCTTCCCTCCCCATTTGTTTTATTTTCGTCTTTTTATTATCAGGCCTGAGAATTACGCATAGAAAACAAGAATTAAAGTTGCTTTACCCTAGTTTGACCCTGTCAAAGACAATGTTTCAGAAATATGCACAAAAAAATCCAAGTTAAAAAAGATGGGGAAAATGTCATTAAACATTTAGCCTTTCTTCCATCTGTTTATTAGCTACTGGAATTAACCAGTTAACTAAAAAAAAACCAAATTCATCAAATTCTTTTTTTCCCCTCTCAATTACTCCAGATCCTGGGATATTACAACTCCATCAGTCTTTCAGCTGCAAAGGGTTCCAAGGCAAAAAGAAATCTGATCTCAGTAGGGAAAAAAACCCCAAAAAACAACAAACAGACAAAAAACCAAAACCCCGCTTGGAAAAACTACCCTTCGCATCATCTTTGTATTATTTAGGAGGCCCTGGCTACGTAACTTTTCCAACACAAGCCACTGAAGATGTTTAAAATATATTTTCCAGTTTTAGCTGGGGTAAGCCCTTAAAAAGAATACTAACTTGTTAGCACAAGCATCCAATGAGCTTCCTGCCAAAAATGTCTTTGGATGCAGCGTTTCCTTTACACTTTCCATTTGTTCCCTTGTAAGGGAAAGGAACCCTAAATTCAAAAGAAATTCAGCTGTGAATACTTCAGCAAACTGGATTAACTGAATTCTGAGATATCACACGACCAGTATACACCATTCAACGTACGTACACATCCTTGTGGGGTGAACTAGCAGCCTGGGTGAGTTAACAGAGCTGTCCAAAGTGCGTTTTGGCTTTTATACATTTTCAATAGTTTGTTTTAAGAAATACCAGTGCAAACAGAAACACCATTTTGCTGCAAAGCAAAGCATAGCATGGGCTAACGGCCAAGTACACTGCTCTCCATAGCTGAACTGTGCATTGATGTTTCAGGGACAGAAGAGAAAAGAATCAGTTACAGCCCATTTTGAGCAGCATTAAGATTTCTGCTCAACTTGATAGATAGCAGAGTGTCAAGACTACTGCAAGAATGCTTCACGGGACTATGCCTTGCACCACATCTCAAGTTTCACTTGGGGAATTAAGATATCAGCATTACTTTCAAGCTGTTCCTGGAAATAGATCCAATGGTCACATACAGATTTATGATGCCAAAGTCCCATTCTCAGACCTCACAAGTTAATGGGGTCCAACCGGCACGTGCGCTGAAGCACGTATCTCAGCACTTTTTCAAAGGTACCGTAATTTCTGAAATTATCTCACATTTTTCAATACTGCAATGGCTTGTCACCAAAACCTGAACAGGTGACATTTGCTGGAGCACTGCATGTTCTCACCTGGTGTGGTGGCAGTAGTACTTGGTGATGCAGCAGTGTTGGTCTGGATAGTAGAAACACTGCCATTTGTGGGAACACCACTTGGCACAGAAGTAGCTGTCTGCATCTTCGTTGTGCTTTTCCCCGGCACGGGGCTGACTGTGGGCAACACATCTGAGGAGTGAGGATGGACCAAAGCATCATCTGGCTGCCCAGGCTTCTCGGTCTTCCCTGTGGCTGTCAAGCCCTGTGCTACAGGACTGGAGAATGTAGCCAACACTGATGGTTCTGGTGCAGATGTTCCTGTGTGGGTCTGTAAAGGAAAAAGTTGTCTTAGTTTGACTTAAACACTGAATGTCAGTTTTGTTTTACTGTGTTTAAGCACTTCACCTCCTCCAGTTAGGGAGGCTGAAAAGTCCCTTGTTTGTTTTTCCTGGAAGCAGGATGTTTTACTGCTTTCTCTTCTGAGTTGTTTCTCCATGTTCTTCCTCCACAGCAGATAGGCCATTTCTAGCTCAGTTGAACACCGGTTAAGACCATAGATTTAACTACAAAATCTTAAGTACCATGGCTGTTGATGTGGCAAACGTGACAGAAGATCTAGGTTCAAAATTGCAGTGAGTGGAGCTAAAAGAATGGAGAGGTGGGATAAGACAGAAGCAAGAAACAGGGACCAGGAACTGGGGTTCATTTGGGCCATTTATTTTGGCCATGTATTCCTTTTTCTAAAGCTGTGCAGTTGGCAAGCACAAAGCAGGAGGATTGCAATGGCATTTTTATGTAATAATCGAATCATTGCAGCAAGAGGAAATTTATTTCAGAATCACTCTTCAAAGCAAGGTGACCTGACACAAACAGCTCCCTGCGTGCATGCCACAGGAGATGCTGCTGGGGCAGGGAGCTGAGCTTGCAGGCAGAAAGTTTGCTCACATCCATACAAGATGAGCCACTTTATTGAAAATAATCAAAGTGGCAGGAACAATTTCCTTTCTTTCATCAGAAAATTCCTTTTACAGCACCTAGCCATTCCAGTTCTTAGCCTGCCAGGCAATACTCTTGACAATTCACCTTCGACCATGAAGTACATGTGTGTAGCACATTTTGTTGAGCTAACTCTATTTTGAGAACATCTGCTAAATATTTAAAATGGAGCAATTTACCATCTTTGACTTGTGGAGTGTTTTGGAGCTGAATTGCCCACCACTACTCCCCACTAGAGGAGCTGGTCAAAAGCTCATCTTGGAGGAAATATTCCCAAGCTTTTGTACCATGGTGTTGGCATTCAGTCCAGGAAACAGGAACTGGAAAAATGCTCCAGACCATGGTGGGTAACTTCCTGGTCAGTAAATAGGCTGGGCTTCAGAAAACACTAAATGCCAGTTGTAAAAATAAAGCCATGCTGCACATACTAAACAGCCAGCCAAGCCAAGAGTGGCATTGAAGGCTTCTCTGCAAGAAGGTTTTTTTGCAGTCTTGGGCAAATAATTTCCTCTCCCCGTCTCTCAGCTAACTTTCCCTCAGTCACGGAATTTAAAACATCTCAATTCATTGATATGTTTGATTAATGTCTGAGCTTTATGGACCAAGGAATCAAACGCTATTTGTTAGCATTACGGACATAAGCAGTTTTTCCTCTATTTGATTACTTGTTGATGGGCCTCCTTTATCTTTAACAAAACTATGGATTCTTTGGAACAAAGATGCAGGCAAAGTCTGGCATACTGCTCTGTGCTGCTCTTCATCGGCAGCCTCAGGACAGTTGGCCACCCCAAGCAGTACCGTCTTACACCCATCCATAACTCTGGTCAACTCAGGATACTGACACCCTTTTGCCAAGTAATCTAATAAGATAAAGTTAGAAATACTGGCACAACAAGAGGGAACAGCCAGGCAGGAACTCAGACACTTGAAACAGACTCTTTAGGAAAGGCACAGGAGCAGAAAGTCTCCGTGATTTCATACCACTATGGGGAACCACTTTTAGCTTAGCAAGAATCAACCCAGACGGGTTGCAAAAACAGCTGTCACAAACAGCAAGCAAAAGACCAGCATCCGCCCGCTGGGCACAGCAGCCGAGTCTCCACTTTACTTGGCAACATTTTCAGTGAGCTAGATGCTTCCTTGACTCACTTTTTAATGCCTAAAAACCCCAACTTTACAGTTAAGAGAGATCCTTTTCCTCCCAGAAGTCTTCAGGGTGAATTGACAGCCAAATGTCTGCAGAGAGCTTGAATCAGATAAGCTTTGCCTGGGGCAACATAACAGTCAAAAATGCCTCTAATGCTTGCAAGCTGAGACACTTCTTATCTTTACTCCATAACCCAGAATTCTTTAAAGCAAAGAACAGAAGATTTCATTCTTCGGGACAAACGAGGAGGAGACTAGAAGTTTGCCAGCTGTCCTATCTCATTAGCTTAGAAAATAGAAAGAAGTGGCATATTGGCCTGAGTGAACGGAATCAAAAGTGTCTGACACTCCTACGATCCCTACCTGCCTTTGGCCTGGGACAAGTGACCTGGTCTCCTTCTATGAGAGTCCTATGTCTAAGATGGAACTAAAGCAGCTATATGCCTCAGAATCCACACTTAAACCTAAGTTACTTGAAAGAAAAATACCTGTGCTCTGGAATTTTCTTTTATTTTTTAGTTTAAATGGGCCTTACTTTGCTAAGCCTGGTCTGGATTTACAAAATAGGCTCTTTTCAGTTTAGATTGTGCCCTTAGTTGTTTGCACTAGGTGCTGTATCTGTGAAGACCCTTAAGACACAAAAATGTGGGTAACGTCACAAACCATTACAGAGTTAGTGCTGGCTGTGAAGAGAGACCTTTCCTCCTTCCTCGTAGGGTAAAAAGCTCCCAGCACTAGCAGGAAGCAAGACAGCAAGAGTCAAACACTAGTAGCCAGAATTGTGAGTGCAGGAATGAGCTCTCTGGCTCTGTTGTAACAACTCCACTTTAAAGGCTGTAGCTTTTTCCACAGTCTGCCTGCAGAGCTGCTGCAGTGCTGCAGCAGCCCTTCTCATTAGCAGTGCTGTGCTTAAATACTTCTCCTGACCAGCTATTAAATGCATTGCTATATTTTAAAATTGACAAGTATTTCTACAACGAGGCAGAGAAAATTGGTGCCTGGAAAATGTCACTCACTTTCATGGAAAAGCACAAATTTCTCTTCCTTAGTTAAGGGCTGATGAACAGGGTGCACTGCGGTTTATCCTGGTACACTCTCCTTCGCCCATCTCTGGCTCTATAGCATGGATACAGTAAAACCATAAATTAATGCTAGCTGCACATTAGCAAAGGACATTGCAGATGGCTATGGAGCTATCAGAACAGCAAGAGGAAAATTAAAACTCGGTGAGGCAACGTTTTCCTAAAACAGTCACTTGACTTCTCCCTGAGTCTCTAGGAGCAAAGGAAAAGATTTGCCTTGCCACACATTCAATGCTCATCGACAGAAGAGGAGAATAGGCACATTAATTTCTTTCTCCCCTTTTAGAGAGGAGTCAAGAGCCACTTTGACCTCAAATGTCCTTTCCCACTTCAGGTGTTTGATGCTCCCAGGTATGAACTGCTTTGCATGCAGTAATGATCCAGTATTCTCCCCACCTTCCAGCCCACCTGCCAAACCTTCTTTAAGAACACAGTACTAAATGCACAGCATTCACCTGATGAAGCCATGTGCTCCATGTACTGGACCAAATCTAGCCCAGGTGAAATTCTACTGATTTCAGCATGTGCGTAACTTTACTTAGTTTGGCTCATAACCAACCCAACTTAGAAAACTCCCTGCTTTAGCATCTCCCTCCTGCAAAGGCTGGCCATGTCCCAAGTACACAGCCTTGAATGTTATATCCTTGGCCTAAATTAAACTGCTCTCAGATCAGCAATGCAAGGACAGCTGCATAGCTTGCCTCATATTTTGCCAGTGAAAGTTGGATGGTTCAATAATCAAGGAATTAGCCCAGGGCTGGGTAGAACCGGCTTCAACTCAATACTCCTGTTAAGGTGGATTTTTTAATTCTTTCTCCTCCTCAAAAACTCTATCCTAAACCTCAAAAATGTGACTGCCAGGAATTCCATCACAGCCAATATATTTTAGTAAGAAGTTTTTATTTTGATGAACCTGCATTTTGTCAAGAGATCTGGACTTTCTTACTAGCAAAAACCAGTAAGAAGAAAAAACTTTCCCCAGCATACATCCAGAAGTGCACCTTAATGACAATGGAGAGTGCTTCCTAAAGATGGGAAATCCTGGATACTCAGCAATATTCAGAATCTGATTAATCCATGTTATTTAATAACATTTGCAACCAGTTTACTGGACAGGCACCAAATAGTAATAATATGACAACTCAGAATGCAACACTGCGCACTGAACAAGCAGGGAGATATAACAACTATTACCCAAGAGCAGCAGAAGACATTTAAGACTGGCTGCGCAGAAGTCTCCCCAGCCATGGCATGCATAAGAACTGAGAGAATGGGGTCACTGTGTAAATCTCAAATATTAGGAGGAGGAAAGAACAGGCAGGGTGGAAATGCTGCAGTACTGCGGGGGAGAGAGAAAGCTGAGATCTTGAGTCAGCCCTAAATGCTGTGGGGTTCTGGAAAATCAAACATTTGTAAAGTTTTAGTGCATGATTTCACACGCCACCCGGGCTGCCCTGGAGCTCTCAGCAGTGTCCCTTGGCTGCTCTCCACATCCTGCTCTGCAGGGTGGTAGCTCAGACCAGTCACGGCCCTACCTGGAACCAAGATTTGAATACAAGGGAGAGAAATAAATTCAGTCAAGTTTCCAGAAGGCATCAGGCTTCAACGGTGCCAAATCCTAGAAATATGGCAAAAGGTATTTAAGGAACAGTTTCACAAAGTAGAATTCTTTCTATTTCACCATCATGAGCGCATGGGCTTTTTTGTACGATAAGGCTCAAAAAACTATTTGCAGATTTAAAAATACAAACATCATTTAACAATTCAAATGTGCCAGTTTCTCTTTAAGACTAACATCTAGATTTACTAGATTAACATTGTACATGTTCAGAGTAGAGACCAAACTGGTTTCATTCAACCAACGCCAATGTAAGCCTTTGTGGATTTGTGAAACTGAAGCAGTCTTCAAAAACAGAACAAAAAAGTTGGCATCAAGATGCCAACTCGAGCAAGCAGGCTGACATGGAAGTCCACTGGAAACTCTATGCATGAGTCTATAAAATAATGTACTTACTGCCTTGATTCAGCACTCAAAGGAAAACAGCTTATTTTATTTTGTGGATCTAAAAAGGTACTTTTACAGGTAACAGTGTTCAAGCCCCAGGGACTTCCCACTGACATCACATATCACCTTTCCTTCTCATCTGGCAAGCATGCTGTGTGATTATACAAGGATAAGCATTATCATGGCCTCCACCTCCCCTCACCTTCCCAAAGACAGTTTATCCCAGCTAGGAAGAAGGGGAAAAAAACCCCTACACCCCAAAAACCAAACAAAAAACCCAACCCTTGGCCTTGCCTTGTTGACAGGAGGCTGAAAACAGACATCCAGAAAGGTATCCTGCCACTTAGGCAGTTTTAAGTCAAAGTCTACATAAAGCAAGATTGAGCAGGAGGGTGACAGCTGTCCAAGGCAGCCCCGTTTCAGCCCCAGCAATCACACTTACCTGTAGCAAGCCAACATCGTCTGCATCACTTGATCTATTCACATTATTGCTTTTAGGAGGGAACAGGCTTTTGGTTTTCTGCTCTCTTGGATTCTGTCCATCTTTCAGCGAGTCTTTCTTTTGATTTGGATGGCCTTCAGGAACAGGCCTGTCTGCCACTAAGCGCCTCAGTACGTGATCCTTCAAGTGCTCTGCTTCACTTCGGCTGCTTCTAGATTTGCTATCTGATGCTCTGGCTGCAGCCTCACTGCTGGGGCTTGCTGCTATATCCCTTTTCAGGAGTTCCACCCTGTTACCTGCCAAGCTCCATTTCTGGAATGACCTCCGCAGTCTTTTTTTCCCCTGGACAGGGATGCCCCAGTCCAACCACTTGTGAAACCAGGTCTTCACATCACCTTTCGTTTGAAACTTTAAGGAGTGCTCTGTGCTTTTTGATTTCTTTAAAAACACCAAAACAGAGTCAGAAAAGCCAGTCCTGTTTGCCTGACACATGCCAGGCATAGTGCAGTTCACCTGGATGCACATATTTTCCAAGAACCAAAAGGCATCACAGGTGGGGCTCTGGCAGCAAGCAATCTGACAGGATAATACAGTATGAAATCCTTCCAGAAGCTGTAAATGGTGATCTCCCCACGATCTCAAACGGCCACCAAACAGGATCTTCCCCGGCTCACATTTAGTTCTGTTCCAGTTTGCATCTGGGAAAGGGGAGGGAAGATAAATAAAGACAATTCTCAATCCTTTAAAGCAGTGGACAATAGATCCTCATCACTATTGTCAAGATGAATTTAGGGCACAGGAGCAATGTGGGAGAGAGGACAGTAAAATGGGGGCTTCGCAGAATCTATACCTGGCCTCAGTATCCAGTACTTTTATAAGCTTTTAAGCAACAATCCACTACCTGCACCTCCTACCGACGGGACCACCACCCTTTTTGATAGCAATGGAACTAAATCCATCTACAACAAAAGAAGTGAAAACAGAAACGTTCCTGTTTCGGAGAAGACTGTAAGGCATAGACTGAACAGTGAGGCTGAAGTTACACAGCAAGTTAAGAGACAGAAATTGAACCCAGGAATCCCGAGTGCAGTTTCTTACTGTAACCCAGTAAACAGCGTTGCCTCTCTGCCCATAGTTTGCCTTGAAGGAGAATTCTGGAAACAGTGACACTGGCTTGGTACACAGTATAAAGGCATGTTTTCCTCTTCCATGCTGATGTTTGAAGTCAGTTACTCGGCTGAAATTGCTCCATTTGAGAAGTTGTTACATCTTCTAGAACAGAGGTCTGCAAGGCCTATCCTTGCCACCTGCTCCACTGTAGTGCTTTCTATAACAGAATTTACCTGTCAAACACGTTTTTTAAGAGTAAAGTTACTTCAGATTTCAGATCAGCGGTAAAGCAGCAACTGCTTTGCATATGCATTTTTATTTTATTTTTCTCAGCACGAAAAATTAGAGTGCTTGCAGGGATCAATGGATTAAAGGCTTCCAAAATTCAGAGCTCTGCAGATTAAGGACTCCCTAAAAATAGACTAAAGACCTATGGGACTGTTACACTGTGCTGTGTTCAGCATCCAAGGGATAATAGGTCACTGGAAGATTACTTTACAAACTATGTTGCTGGACTCTAAGTGGTGCAGCTAGAGAATATGCTCTGGCTCCTGGCCTGTCAAGAATGGAGTTTTTGAACACAACACAAACGGGAAACTTTTTTCTCCATTAAAATAAAGAAGTCTGAATTTAAATTATAATACCCTGGATCCTCATTTCTTGACAGCATATAAAGAAAAGTTCAGTAACATATTACTATTCCAGTAACTCTGAATGAATATAGAGTTCATGTTGCATTATACCCACATTCACTACAGTGGGAACTAACCAAATTAATAGGCGTGGATGTAGAGGCTACTGATCTGTCTGTCCGTCTCCCGTGAGAAGAATTCTCATACCACTTCTCCTGTCACTTCCAACACATTAAAGATGGAATATGTTGAGGCACAGGAGAAAGGCCAAAAAAAAATCTTCATGTCATCACCCACCAAATAGAAGTAATAGTGATGGCACTGCAGTGCGTTTTATGATTCTTGAAAGAAATCATGCAAGGTCCCCAACTGCCCGGCACAACTCCAACAGCCCTGCTGAGCCACGGCAGGCTCACATAGCAGTAAGCTTTCCAAGCATCAACCACGACACAGACAGAAGTGCAGAGGGGGAGGTATTTTTCTGATCAAGTCTGGAGCTCACAAGCAGTTGTCAACCTCAACCTCCTGAAGCACCAATCCTGGAAAACTCTGTAAGACTAGAACAGTACAGATGGATGCAGGTGTCTTCCACTCTGGCTGTTTTAGGCTACGTGAAGCATTTCACTTCAGGACTTTAAACTCCAGCCACGAAGACACTTACCTCACACTCCTGAGATGGCAAGGAACTCTGACCCTCTGAATGACAGCTAATACCCAAAGTTAGTGATATAAAAGTGCTATGATTTTCCCCTTCCTCCTGCACCACCCCCAGGTGCAGGAGGAAGGGCAAAGTCAGCATTTTTCATAATGTTGTATGACCTGGATAACCTTGTATGACCAAAGAAAGCAAGTGGGGAAGACGGAGGACATATTTCATTGTAATTCAGTTATCCCAAACACCACAATAGGTGTAACAGCTCTTGTACTCCTGATTGTAAAAGGTATCCACATACAATGATTTGCTCACCCAGAATGGATTAGCCACTTTTTTAAAATAAAGGGTGATGGCCATATTCATGCACCTTGTGCATGGAATCTCCTGCTACACCAAGAATTTCAACCCAAAAAAGCAACTCACACCATCACAAGGAAAAGTTTGGTTTTGAGACATCAGAAAGCAGGAAGCAAAAGTGTTATTTATAGCTTATTGTGAAGCCAGCTCAGCAAAGGCAGTTTGAAGACAAGGCTGCAGAAAGCTGCAACAGAATGCACTCAAGATCTGTGACCAAGTCACAGGGGACCAGAGCTCCCTATGAGTGTCTGAACCCACAACTGCACAGAAGGAAGGGAAGCTCTTCACTCAAGAAACGTTCGGCTGCAACGTGGAAATGAAACAGTGCATACATTCAGAGAGAGAAGTTGACAACAGCACCTTTAAAATCAGCACCATCCTTGTCGCACTTCATCAACACACGGCACTTCCTTCTAGAGCAAGCAGACCGGCAGCCTGTCTGCCCGGGGCAACAACCGACCTCATTACATTCCGAAGTGCTTGGACCGACAGTCACCCTGACACAACAACTGTGCGCACAGGCAGGGACAAGCACCTGGCATTAACCTGATGGGCCTGGAATTAGGACAGAGTATGGGGTGGGGGGGTGTACACCCCCCAGACTTAGAGAAACAAGTAACAAATGGAAGAGTAACACTATTGCTGTGAATTTCAAGAGATCTTATCCATTAAGACTCAAGTTAGCCTAAAAAAAAAAAAAAAAAAAAAATCACTTTCTGTTAAAGGTGAAGCACTGTCCCTCATATACCCCCTGCAAAAGGGAAATGTGCTGCTTCCCACATCCCTAAAATGCCTCCTCCTCCTCGACCACTGCTCATCCATCTCTCCTTAGATGTCAGCCCTGGCTCATACATACCACTCAAATTAAGGCTTGATACAGAACCCAGTGAAGTTCAGCAGCAGCTTTCTAGTAACATGCTTAAAACTAAGCACAAACAGAATAGGGCATATTTAAAAGAAAGTTTTCCCAGGGAAGATATCCCTTGTGAAAAATGACTACATACCAAGTATTGTATTTATTAATCTAAAATGTAAAACCTGAATCCCTGTAAGCATCTCCTAGGTATGCCAGAGCCATGACTTAGCCCAGATGACACAACACTACCATGCTGAGAGCATTCTGCTTCTCTTTTAACCCACTGCTAAATCAAGATGCAGAGATTTGAATTATATTTTGGCCAGATTTCATTTCCAGAACCCTGCTAATGCCCACCTAGGACATGTTTATTTGAAATTAGCCAATATGGCTTCTGAATTGCTGTACATGGATAGATTAAAACTCGGTTAATTCTCAGGAACGGTAGAAGCGAACAGGAAACTCACAACATGCCAGCCCAGCATTCTAGATGTACATTTTCCACAGAACCATACTGATTTTCATCTATGCAAATCCCATGGTCTTTGGTGGGCATCACACATTCACACAACTCTATTTAAGTGCCATGGCAGAAAGCAGAGCTCCTCAGTCTACGCTTGCATTTCATCTCTGGAAAGATGAAAGATTTTCTGCCAGGAAAATTCACCCGGTCTGTTCACAAAACACTTCCTCCCTGAGAGTCCTGCAGGGACACACTGTGGGACAAACGAATCATTGTGATGAGAAGCCACACGTTGCTATTCACAGTCTTGCAAATGAGGACCTCCACAGAACCTGGGGCAGCACCTGCACTAAGCAGACATGGACCTGCACCAGACAAAAGAAGGCAGCTGGGAGTACAGGCAGAGGTACTAACTCCTGCTTCCTGAGAGAGCAGCCTGTTCAGTCCCTGCCAGTCCCTTGTGCCGGACCCTAGGCTACCACACACAGCAGCCGCATACAGGAACTCGGGGGTGGGTCAGACCAGCAGACCGGTAAATCTGGTCACCGACAGAAGCAACGCCAGCAGCTTCAGAGAAAAGCACCAGAAACCCGTCACCATCCCCGGGGACGAGCTCCCTCCTAAGCCCCAGCAGCGTACCCAGCCTAGCACAACACAAATCACATGACGCCTGCACAGCGGGTGTGCTTAGTCACTTCTTCATGTTGTTTTTGTCTTTTTTTTCTTCCCTAGTATATCAGTACAAAAAAAGGTGCGCTTCTCAGGAACTTGGGAGTTCCTGTCCCGGCGATGCAGCTCACAGCTTTGCTGAACAGCAGGGGAATGGAACGAACAAGAACAGTTTCTATTAATAAGCTCAGGTTCACAGACTTGCTCAGGCAGTTAATCCCTCCCGATATCAGATTAATGATTAAAGACTTGACTCTATGGACTTTTAAAATCTGTCACATGTAACCAATTATGTCAACACAGTTCCTCTTACGTAACTCCACGCGATCACACTAATTTCTAGGCAGCCATAATTCCTCTTCAGTTTAACAAACTCTGCTGCCTAAGTGACACAAACAAGACCAAAACAACAAAAACTCTACAATGGAAAAAGTGTCCACATCAGGATAACTACGTCACATATAATTATATTTCTTTCCACACACGCATCAGCCTTCATGGTTTTAACTCTCCCAAGCAGTCCAGCCCTCAAACACTGCAGCGCTGTCCAGAACACCCTCTAAGAGAGACACGGGATTCACAGCTCTAGCTCTAGACTTCTGAGATATTACTAAAGACTGGAAATGCCACACAGGAAGCCCATTCTACAAGGAAACACGCGATCCACCTGACACACCATCCAAACCCAGAGCACCAAGAACCCTTTGCTAGGACCAGGAATACAAATGTCTTTCCAGGTTCTAAATTAGCAGATTAAGGTCACGCAGCTCATTAGCTTAATCAAATCTGTCACTCGGTAAGTGTCCAGGAAGGCCTGGTAAAACAACGGAGACACTGCAGCAGCCTAGAGAACATGTCCACGTAACCAAGAAACAAAGTAAAACAACCCCCTTTTCAAATCTTGCTACTATTAAGACATAGCAACCTTCCAGCAAAAAGCAAGCAGCTGTCAGCTGTCACACAGGTTGATATACACTGAGGTCACCACTGCCTCGAACCTATAATTCACTAAAACTTGAACAAAGAGGGGAAAGAAAGTTTGTTCTGTGCCTTTTTTAACTAGGATCGGGTGAATGCTACATGCACGCATGGGAAAAATACCACCTCTTGGTAAAGATGTGGCCTCAAAACATTCACTGGAACTTAACATGTCTCTCTGAAAAGTCAGAGTCTGAACTTTTTAAATAAAAAAAAACCCACACAATCCATTACAGGAAAACTTACATACAAGCCACTACCTTGGTTATTTACTTGAGCAGGAGGTTGGTTACTCAAGCTTGAACAGGAAATAAAAAAACAAACATAACAATTGCCTGTAGGCAAATACAGATTATTGACATACTGCATTTGGGGAGAGCCTTAAACATTTGAAAGCTAAAAAAAACATTCCTGCCTTCCCAACTTGCTTCAAGTATTCCTTAGATGAAATTATTTTCCAGGGTATAACTTATTCATTTTGCAGAAGTGCTCAGAGAAAGCTCTCTATGAGGTAACAGGCAAGTGCCTGAAAGCCAGCACCACGTGTGAAGATGCACGACAGTAGCTGCGTGGGACAGACAGACACCCTGCTGCTGACCACTTGATTACTCAAAATAGCAGTTGGTTATCAGAGCAATACAGTGTTATGAGAAGTGACCCCCTCATGCTCCACATCCCTCCTACCCTATTGACAGCTCATTTAGTAACTAATAAGGGTAGGGTTTTGTTTGTTTTTTAAACCAGCTACAATGTCTAGCAGCAAATAATTTCACCTTCCTTTCAGAAGATTTTAAACAAGCGAGAGGGATAAATATCATAACAAATATAGACACAGTCCCAGACAGAACAGAAGAATCACCTGCTGAGGAGCACAAGGCACACAGGCAAGCACACAGGTAGAACAGCTGCAGACTTCTCAGCTCCCTTGCAGGTTTTCCCAGGCAGTATCGTGACAGAAATCGGGCGCTAATGCTGAACTTGGCTTCCAACCTCTCCTCCATGGCCTTTGTGGGCAGCAGCGGGGTTCTAGAAACATATAACATATGAAACACAAAACATCCACCGGCAATTGGTATGTTCTTGCACAGATTCAGTCGACATTATGAAGAACATGGAGCACTTGCGGAGAAAAAGGAATGTCTTATCTTATCTGCTGTGACTTAGTCCAGCTGCTGCTAAGTAACTATCAATATACAATACTAAAGCAAAACCCATAGTAGCAAAGTTTCTGGTGCTGAACTGCAGCGGGCCACCACGATGGCCTTTCCCATCACCCTTGTGATTTCCTCCTCCAGACCCCACCACTTTCAGTGGCACAGTATCTAATATCAGAGTCTACCGGATTCCAAAGATGCATTTGGGAAATTTCAGTTTCAGATATACCACAGGGAACGGACAGCCAGCCAGCGCCAGGAGCATAACACTGGCACTGACAAACCCAGCACATCTGCCCGGCGATGTCATCGCTTGCGTGTTGGTGCTGGCTGGTACCAGCCAGAAACAAACAGAAACAAGACGACAGCAATGCTGAGAAACACGGAGCTGAAGACCTGTTTTGCCTCGTATTTCGCTCTGCGGGGCACAGATCACGAAAACATCGATCTGTGATGTTTCCTTCTCAGCCTTTCTAATGCCAAAGGCCCTTTTACAGCCTCATATGCTACTGAAATCTAAATTAGCTCTAGGTGATGCGATATTAAAACATCAATTACTTCACGAGTAATCAGTATTATCCGTTTTCAAAGAGTGATGAAGCACCATTAGGCACAAGGAGTTAAATCTGCCATTTCTGAAGAATCAAAAGGGAATATCGTCAGAGATCTATCAGCGCATTGCTTAAGCGCTCCTCGTTCGTTCAGCCCGGCGGGAATGTCACCCGACCGCCCGGCAGCGCAGAGCGTGACCTGCAGGAGGGCTGAAAGGGAGGAAGGGGACGGGAGGAAAACTTCAGGGGGCTCACGATGGGAGGCTGCTCTGCCA